TTACAGGAGTGAGCTACTGAACTTAGGCTTTTTTCTTGAGATAGAGTTTCACTCTTTTCGCCCAGGCTGGAGGGCAGTGGTGCAGTCTCGGCTCACTGCAACCCCTGCCTCCAGAGTTCAGGTGATTCTGCTGCCTCAGCCTCCTGAGTAGCTGGGATTATAGGCATGCACCACCAGGCCCCGCTAATTTTGTATTTTTAGTAGAAATGGGGTGGTTGGGCCCGGCGCAGTGGCTCAATGCCTGCAATCCCAGCGCTTAGGGAGGCTGAGGTGGGTGGATCAGGAGGTCAAGAGATCAAGACCATCCTGGTCAACATGGTGAAACCCCATCTCTACTGAAAATACAAAAAATTGGCTGGGCATGGTGGCGCGTGCCTGTAATCCCAGCTACTTAGGAGGCTGAGGCAGGAGAATTGCCTAAACCCAGGAGGCAGAGGTTGCAGTGAGCCGAGATCGCACCATTGCACTCCAGCCTGAGTAACAAGAGCGAAACTCCGTCTCAAAAAAAAAGAAAAGAAATGGGGTGGTTGGCCAGGCTGGTCTCAAACTCCTTACCTCAGGTGATCTGCCCGCCTCAGCCTCCCAAAGTGCCGGAATTACAGGTGTGAGCCACCACACCCGGCCTATTGTTTATTTTATTTGAGACAGGGTCTTGCTCTGTTGCCCAGGCTAGAGTGCAGTGGTGCAATCTCGGCTCACTGCATCCCCTGCCTCCCAAGTTCAAGCAATTCTTGTGCCTCAGCCTCCCAAGTAGCTGGAAATACAGGTGAGCGCCACCATGCCCAGTGAATTTTTCTTTGAATTTTTAGTAGAGTCATGGTTTCTCCATGTTGGCCAGGCTGGTCTCGAACTCCTGGCCTCAAGTGATCAACCTGTCTTGGCCTCCCAAAGTGCTGGAATTATAGGTGTGAGCCACTGTGCCCTGTCTGAAGTAGAATTTATTTTTATCTTTTAGAAGTCTTTGTCCTTTTCCCCAAGGAGGTCATCATACCTAATAAAAGCCTCCATTTATCAAACATCTGTATATCACATACTGTGCATGCTTTCTTTCCTTCTTTCTTTTTTTAAACAAAGTCTCACTCTTGTCGCCCAGGCTAGAGTACAGTGGCATGATCTCGGCTCACTGGAACTTCTGACTCCCGGGTTCAAGCGATTCTCCTGCCTCAGCCTCCTGAGTAGCTGGGATTACAGGCACGCGCCACCACACCGGGCTAATTTTTGTGTTTTTAGTAGAGGAGGTTTCGCCATGTTGGCCAGGATGGTCTCGATCTCCTGACCTCGTGATCTCCCTGCCTCGGCCTCCCATGGTGCTGGAATTACAGGTGTGAGCCACCGCACCCAGCCACATACTGTGAAGCTTTCTATACATTATCATTACCAATCATAGCAATTTTGAATTGGAGAAACAGACTTAAACAGGCTGGGTAAACTTGCCCAAAATCCACTACTAGCAAGTGGAAGAGCCAGGATCTTAACCCATATGGTCCTCTTAACTATCTCTGAGGATGCTATGCTGAGCGTGTGGTGGCTCACACCTGTAGTCCTAGTACTTTGGGAGGCCAAGGCAGGTGGATCACTTGAGGCCAGGAGTTTGAGACCAGCCTGGCCAACATGGCAAAATCCTGTCTCTACTAAAAATAAAAAAACTAGCTGGCCACGGTGGTGCATGCCTGCAATCCCAGTTATTTGAGAGGCTGAGGCATGAGAATTGCTTGAACCTGGCAGAGATTGCATGGAGCTGAGATCACGTCACTGCACTCTAGCCTGGGTGACAGACTCTGTCTCAAAAAAAAAAAAGTCACAGGGCAAACAATGAAGGTAGCAATTAGCAATCTGTAATCCACCATGTTGCCATGTGAATGAAGTGATAACCAGGGGTGAGTGAGTGATGTTTGCTGGTGCTCCACATCTTTCACTGCCCTTCTTCTGCCTCCTGAGCACTGCTGTAGAGTGTCTCTTGTGGACTCTTGAGATGACCTCCTTACCCTGGTCTGTTCACTCTGCTCTCGTCCCTCCAGTTCATCTGCTCTTGCACAGCTACAGTTATCTTTTCCAAGCACGGATCTGATCGAGGCACTCTCCAGGCTCACAGCCTCTTTGAGTCCTGGCCTGCTTGCTTTGCTGGCCATCCTGTTGGCCACTCTTCCCCCTTGCCACCATCACTGCACCCTTCCTTCACTCTGCACTGCAGGCTTTAGACTTCACAGCCATGCATGTGCACATCATGTTCTCTCCCACAGAAATGTCCATCCCTGCCCTTACTTGTCATTGGTAGTGGAAGCTCACAAAAGTAGTTTATTATATTTATTTATTTTTTTTTT